GAGGGGGGGAGGGCTGGCGGAGGGTACTGCAATTGGCCGGAGTGGTTGAATTGCTGCGGATGCGGAACGGGCGACGAATGAAAGGAGTTCGAGGGGAGGAGGTAAGGTGACGGCGGCGGTGCAGATGATCTGTAAGGATCGTAATTGGGCGGAGGAGGATTAGGGTAGCCGTAGCCATAAGGATAGGGGTTGCCGTAGCCCTCCATGGCTGTTGCGAACTGCGATATTCGCTCCCTTCTTCTTCAGCTCTTTTCTGGGAAGCGTCGAGAGCGAGAGAATGGGGGAGGAGTCAACAAAATACGGAAGCACGCCATTATGATCTTGGGTATCAATAAATTCATCTAAAGTAGGCGTTAGATATTTAAATACGTAAAATCTGTGTGATATGTATGTAGGGACTTGACCGGATCCTATGTAAGGGGTGTGCATTTGACCGATTCAGGTGCATCCACTTGAAAATTTTGCAAATTAAAATGAATAGGAATTATCCCATCAACTGAATAAATCAAATTTACATTTTTTATATAATAAAAATAAAAAATACATAAAAAATATAATAGCATAACTAAGAATGATTGCTAATCACAATTCGTACTGCACTTCCGTCGTAGTTCCGCGTATGTATGAGAAAAATTTGCGTACGTAAGACATAGGCAGTGCTACGTACGTTAGGGAGGTTATTCAAAAGGTATTAGGGGTTATATCCGTGTTATATCCCCTGTAACATTCATGTAACTTACAAATATAGCGCGGAACTTACTAAAAGGAACAAGTAGGTTAATTGTAGGTTATAGGGAGGTTTCAGGGGGTATAACGCAGATATAACCTCTCAATACCCTCTGAATAACCTCTCTGACGTACGTAGCGCTTTTCTCAGTATGTAGAGGTTGTTTTCGACGGTTTGATTTTTTTAATAAACCCTAGTAAACCAAAATATGCGAAGGTATTGGGGGTTATATCCACGTTATATCCCATGTAACATTCATGTATCTTACAAATATATGAAAACAGAAGCGCGGAACTTACTAAAAGGAACAAGTAGGTTAATTGTAGGTTATAGGGAGGTTGTAGGGGGTATAACGCAGATATAACCTCTCAATACCCTCTGAATAACCTCCCTAACGTACGTAGCGCTTTTCTCAGTATGTAGAGGTTGTTTTCGATGGTTTGATTTTTTTAATAAACCCTAGTAAACCAAAATATGCAAATTTTAAGAGTATAATCTGTATCGTTATTTTAAAAATGGAAACAATTCAATAAAATAATTTTGTTCGGTTTGATTTTTTTAGATTTATTCAAACTGTACACATTCTTATATGTATGTAAATTTTGCTTATTTTAAATGTAATATATATATATATATATATACTATCCATCAATCTCAAACACTTTGTTTTGTTCTTATATATTTACATATCCAACATCTAAATTAAATTTTTTATATTTATGTCATTCATAATTTTCATATAACATCAAAAAATATTGTTATTTTAATTTTTACAAACTGAAATCTACCTCATGATTTTCATGTGAGATAAGGAGGCATGTATAAGAAAAAATAAATTTTAGATGTTAGATCAGCATAAGAATTAAGTGGTATGTATCTAAATTTTTCTTTTTTTTCATTAATACATATTTAATATTATGACATTGTCATCCTTTCGCTCACAATTTAGAATATTTAAACAAAAATTATTTTTTTAGGCAGTATTTTATGTTAAATAGAATATATCAAATCCTGTGTGACAGTGATGGATTCTTTTAAATTTGTCGTGTAATTTGATTTAATAAATTCAAATTTACATCATAAAAAAGATGAAATGTAAGAAATTTTAATTTGGCGGGGCGATAAATTTAAATTTTTTATTCTTAATATTTGGCTAAATTTATCTTGCATTCATGACTAAATTTTATTAAAACTATGCTAACAAATATCCCTTAAAAAGAAGCTTACGTTAACTCGCTTAAATGAGTGAGACTTTTTTCTTGGGATTGTTTATATTAGATTTTCTCATTTTATCATAATCATGATTAAATGGATATTTTCATTTGAAAGTTTTACGATCACAAATTAACTCTCTCTAACCTATGTTTAGATAATAATGATAGTGTTAACATCTATAATTGTATCAATTATTTGAATGCTATTAGAAATATTTTAATATTCTAAAAATGATTTTTATTCTTTGTGATGACTGCAAGAGATTTATGTTGTCTACTATTTGGCAAGCTATCTAGTTTGTCATTCATCAAAATTAGAGTTAATATAGATGGTGTATAGGTTTTGTTTTAAGAAAATTGAATTGTATCTAAATGGCATGTTTTTGTCTAAGAGGCCCAAAAAATATAAATGTTATGGTCATTATGGGATTCATGTTAATAATATTTAATGGAAGATTATTAGAGTGTGTAGTTGGTTTCCGGATATATGCAGCTTACTTGAGTCTCTCAAGCAGTCAGCTTCTTCTCCTTACCTATATGTAGGTCGATTCTCAACTTAGGTTTTTCAACCACATTGATTCTCTCGGTTCTTCCTCTATCGCATTTTCTTTCCTCTTCTTTTTACCTACAATTCAAGTTTTTCCAGGCAAACATTATATCATAGATACATACTCAACAACCACTCCACGAACTATGTCACAAACAGTCATTTCTCTCCACAAGATAAAAGAGACCAGCATTCCCAACTCTTTTAATTTTCCGATCAATCATATAAAGAACATGACAAACTAACTACTAACATATGAAATTTATCTAGTTTGGAAGGTAAGAAATTAAAAACTATTCATGATTAATGATTTTGAATTGCTTTTAGATCCCACCACTCTCATTCCTTCAAGATTTAGTCAAGAAGAAGCTGACAAACAAGAAGAAACTATTGAATATTATCAATCAAAACCTTGCATCAGCCATTCTCTCAACCATCTCCCCCTCTATTACCTCGTATGTTCTCCATCTTAACAATACAACAAAAATTTTGTATTACCTTAGAGAAACAATTTTAAGCAACAAATCGATTTCGAGTCAATCAACTCAAGAATGAACTCCACCACATATCTATGTGTAACAATACCATGAATCTTTATCTTACTACTGTCAAAACTATGGTTGATAATATAACTGTTGCAAACTCCAAGATAGACAATGAAGACCTCATTCTTCATATACTAAACAATCTCCCTCCCAGCTACCAAGGCTTCAAGACTGATATTCCCACTCAATTACATCTTATTGAGTTAGAAGCATTTCATTCTCTTCTCCTTCATGAGGAAAGCAATCTTGCTAATGATGCCAACAAAACAACCCCCCAATGGTTCTTTTCGCTTCGAAGAATAGAGTCATGCAAAACAATCAAAGAAACTCCAACAAAATCTTCTCTCACAACAGGCAACTAAATTCCAGCACCACTAGAAAACAAAAATCCTCTGTTTCTTGTTAATATGTTACAAGAAAAAACCTACAACTGTCAATTGCTGGCATATGGAAAATCTCTAGTATAAACCCATCGTTCTATCCCCCAATACAACCCTCCACACTAATGTTCAAACTCCACAAGAATGAATTCTTGATATAGGTGGCCGCATCACCCCACATCTTGAAAATATGAAACATCCCACACTATACGAAGTTATAGACAAAGTGGTGGTATGAAATGGGCAAGTTGTTGATATCTCCCACACTAGTAAGGATGTATTACCTACTCCCAACAGTAAGCTCGCACGTGATAACAACTGTCAAATTGTTTTTTCACCTAATCATTTTCATATACAAAATCTTAAAACCAAGAAAACTATGTTGACTCGTCCTGTTAGTCAAGGGCTTTACTCCACTACAACATTACATCACACTGACATTCCCTCTAGTACATGCCATCAATGGTTGGGACCTCATCGCAAGATTCTCACTCGCATCTCCAAATAAACCTCCAACTTCAGTTCTCGAACAATCATTTAGCATGTCTTGTTTTTCTTACAAAAAAAAAGTCATAAACTGTTTTTTTTTTTAATTCTAGTACTACTTCTTATTGTTTACTTGATATGATACGTACAGATGGTTGGGGTTCATTTTCTCATTCTTTAATGAATGGTTATACATATTATGTTATTTTCATTGATGCTCATTCACGTTTTTGTTGGTGCATTCCCATGAAGCACAAATTTGAGGTTACTTATCATTTATAAATTTTCATAAACATATACATACTCGCTATAATAAAAATATCAATATCTAAGATCAGATGGTGATGGTGAATATTAATCATCTTATTTAATCGATTACTCACACAATCACTATATTATACATCATTTTAGCTACCCCTACTCCCATAACAAAATGGTTTGGTTGAACACAAAAATAAACATCTTGTAGAAATTGCTTACCTCAACCAGCTAACCTTCCACCACATTTCTAAATACATGTCATTCTTACAGCAAACAATCTAATTAATAGGTTACCTTCTCCTGGTACTCATTACAAATCATCTTTTCAACTTTTAAATAACACTAAAATTCTTAGATTTGTCTGCTTTCCATGGTAACAACCACTTGCTTCAAATAAATTCAGGCTGAGGGCTCCCACTTGCATTTTCTAGGCTATTGTCATCATCATAGAGGTTATAAGTATCATGATATTAATAAGCAAAAAATTTTTATTTCTCATCATGTTAAATTCATCAAAAATTATTTTCCTCTTCAACTAATGGCATGTTTGGGGCAGTTGTAGCTGTTTGAAGAAGCAACTGTGAAAGTACTGAAAAAGACGCTGTTGTTCAAAAATTTTCAATGGCTATTACAATTTTTTTAAAGAAATCTAACCAGAGCTTTCTAGCAGCCATTGCAGGTTTTAAGGTATGATAGGAAAATGCAGTTTACAGCTGCAAC